ATCCTCGGATGGCATGCCAAGGCTGGCGGTGCCGCAGGGTGCCCTGATTGCTTCAGCTTTGGGAAATTGTAATCAGCCACCTGATGAAGGTGTATGCACTGTGACAATATTTACGGCATCTGGTCCAGCCACACCTCAGGTCCCCATGGCAACAGACAACCAGGCAACGTGATAGAACCCAGGCAAACTTCTGCAGACCTCCTCAGCCCTTCTAAGATATCTAGCCCCTCTCCCTTTTTCCCCTTGTGTGGGCACAGGGGAAGGGTCCCAGGTTAAGGGGTTAGGTAGGTGCAGGGACCCCAGGACTTCCGCCTTGGTGCCTGTGGTTCTCATGACCAAAGTTGGGTGGCAGAGCAGCCTTGCTGAATCCAGCTTGTCACAGATGAGGTAGCACTCGCTGGGGCTCCCCAGTGGCTATGGAATGTGACTCAAATATGCTTCCTCCTCCACCTGTTCTGGGATGAAGGGCCCCTGGTGGCACAGTGGGTTAAGCCTTGGGAACTGCTAACATTAAGGTCGATGATTCAAACCCACCTGCTTCTCCTCAGGAGAAACATGATTGTTGACTCTCATAAAAATTCTCCGTCTCTGAAACCCTAAGGAGCTTAGGGTTCTCCCCTGCTCTAGAGGGTCACTGTGACACAGGATCCACAGGACGGACGTGTGTTAGGGGGTTCTAGGATGGAGCCTAGAGTCTTCCTCCCACTGAGCGCAAACCATCAGCTCCATCCTCTCTCTTTCCTGAGGAACATGGAATGGACCAGGAGGCTCCTGTTGGGACAACCCCCCCCACTTACCCCCCATGGAAAAGAGGGTGTAGTTCTCTAGGGCCACCGTAGTAAAGTTCCACGGCTAGGTGGCTTAAGACTAGACATTTATTGTCTCTTGTTTTGGAGCCCAGTTGGCACTGTGGATTAGGTGTTGGACTGCTAACCACAAGGCCAGCAGTTCAAACCCACCAGCCGCTCCCCTGGAGAAAGATGAGGCAGAAAGCCTACAGTAAAGATTTACTCTCAGAAACCTCATGTACAGTCACTCTGAGTTAGGACAGTCTTGATGGCAGTGTGTTTGTTTTGGGGGTCATTCTGGGAGTCAGGGCAATTTCCAGTGGTCAACAGGGCCACAATCTCCAGAAAGCACTGAGGGAGACTCTTGGCCCGTCTTGTCCAGCTCCCAGTGGCTCCCAGTGATTCTTGGCTTGTGGCCGCACCATCCCCCCCTCCCCTGCCCCTTCGTCTCATGGCCTTGTCCCTCTGTGTTTGTTTCTCCTCGAGATCAGTGGTCATGAAGTGATGACAGCCACCTTCATGACCTCCTCTCACACTCGCTCGGTCTGCCATGATGTAGGGTCCAAACAATGGTCACTAAAACAGCAACTGGGGTGTAGGACGTGAGCTTTTGGGGAGACGCTATTCAATCCAGGATGGTCTGAGTATTGGCAAGTTTGAATAGGAGAGGTGGGAGCTCAGCCTGCCTGCGGCGTCTCTCTTCTACCCCAAACCCCAAACCCACCCCACTGCAGTCAATTTCAATTCTTGGCTACCTGTGTGTAACAGAACGGCCCCGCAGGGTTTCCTGGCTGTCATCTTTTTGGAAAACGATCACCAGGCTTTTCTTCTGAGGTACTGTTAGGTGGATTAGAACCCACAGCATTCGTTAGCTGAACACAAACCATTTACACCATGACCAACCTGTCTTCCAGCCAGCGGGGCAGGATAAGAGAAAGGAAGGAGGTGGTTTCAGGTGCCAGGGGTCACTTTGAGGTTCATCTGGAGAGAAACTCCACTGGACCCAGGAAGCACCCGAGGCCAAATGTCCCCTGTGCCGTCTTTACAGGCCTGGCTGTGATCCTGCACTAAGGGCCCCATTCTGCTGATTCCCCACCCCACCCCGGGGTGCCAGGCTGGACTCCAGCTACAGTCCTGTCCCCAGAGACCCCATGCAGTTCTTGCCCACCCTTTTGTTTTCTTTTAGGAATGTTTGGCACCTTCCTTTTATCCCCTCCAAATTACCGAGACCCTACAAGGAGCAGCACAAACACTACGTTTGATTTCTTTTTTTTTTTTTTTAATTTCAAAATTAATAAAGAACTTAAAGACAAGTATAATAATTTAATCTCGATAGGTAATGCCATGTATACATCTACATATGAAGGAAAGTGAACTTTGTACCTTGGTTTTGGGTCACAGTTTTTACTTAAATCTTTCCATGAGGATTATTACCTGCTAACGACAGAACGCAATTAAGACAGGGAAGGCTTTTTGATACGATTTGTTTTTCGTTTGAATGTAGTTTTTACTTTGAAATAGGAAATTGTGTATTTGCAGTTTCTTTTTTTACTCTAAAATGTTTGATTTTGCCAATTTTTTTTGGAGGGTCTCCATTGCTTTGAAGCAGGGGCACTATTTTCATTCAGTGCCTTCATGGTGCTCTCTTGTTTGGTCACAGATAGAAGAAGCTGGTAGCAACACCCTTATTTCCATTTACTAAGATCACTGGGACCCTTAAAACATAAAGGAGGGTTAATGTGTTACAAACATTTTTGTACCTTTTGTTAAAAACAGTATAAATACAGGAAACATAGTCTAATGCTTTGTCTGCATTGAAGCCATCCCACGCCCTTCACACAAAGGATCCACTTTTACTTATTTTGGCACAAAAAAAAATCCTTCTCAGTTCTTTTTACTGATGATCTAAGATTTGAGCTGTCCTCTTGTGTTACCACTGAGGACATTCTCTTATTAATGCACATTTCTACACAGGGGTATAGGGAGGAGGGGCAGCCTCTACCCACTCCACCTCCCAAATTCCAGCACCCAATTTGAACACTGAGGAGCAATCTCTACGCTGCATCCCCACCCCAATGTGAGTGCCCAGGAGTAGTCTCTAAATGGCTGCCCCTCCAATTTGAGATCCCTTTACACCCCAAATTCAGGCACTCATAGGCAATCTCTGAATTATCGCCATTTACTATATGGGCGTCCAAGGTCAAGTCTCAGCAGCCCCCTCTAATTTCAAGATGAACAGGCATTGAAAGTTGTAACCACACTTCAGCAGAAATCCTTCCCTGACTCTTTTCTAACTGCATCAGTCTGATGCCTACTTCTGGCACCTCACTGGAATAGTGCCCACGCCCCTTCGCTAAGTCTCTGTGTCCACCATGCTTATGAAAGCACGGGGTTAACAGAAACTGCTCATTGGCGCCCCTCTGGTGGCACCCAGAGCTCATGCCCTCCCTGTCCTACCTTCCATTACTTCTGTACCAGCCTAATTGGATTGGCCCCATGAAGGCTTCCATGATTTGCTTTGCTAACTTGTATCAAGTTCAGATTGGAATGCTGATCCTGAGGTCTTTGTAGAATCTGAACACTTAGAACTAAAATGAACAGGCTGTGCAGTCAGAAGGAAAACATATGACATGAAATAGATCAAACGTGAAAAACACACATCGGAAACCCTCCACCAAGGTAAGCCATGTATTTTTGGCATCTAGTCAATGAGTTGTACATGTTAGCATTGAATTAGACACAAAACTTCTGGACAAACACTTGAAGACTACGTGTCCTTGTGAGTTTCACAAACTATTCAAAATCCAAGTTGTACAAAAAAAGGCAACATAAGATTTCTACTTCCTAGTATGAAAAGCAAAAAAATTGATAGACAAAGCCATCAATAGATAGACCCGGGCTTTGGATTTCTATAAAAAGAGACTTGCAAAGGTGCCAAGGAATGAGTGAAAAAATAAAGGAACTAAGATTCACGTTGCGATGTGTAATCAAGAAAAAATACTAAGTGGCACAGTTGATTTAAAAAATACCTAAAAACATTTGATTCACAGCTTTCCCCTAAGAATGTCATTTAGAACAAGTTACGAGTAGGCTAATTGTAGGTGACGTTGAGTTTGTATCGTCGGTAGCAGCTAAACTAAACACACAGTTTCTGGTTGACATGGAAGGGTCTTCCAAGAGTTGTTACAAAGCATAATGAATCATATAAAATGTCTGCTGGCTGAGCTTAGGGTGGTGTACCATGTCTCCGAAGACTGATCAGCAGTGGCCAAGAACGCTCGTGGTTTACTGGTAACAGGATTATCCATTGTGTATCTGTCTCTATGTGTGTTTTGAAATTCTTGCCAGAATTTATTTATCATTTGGCCTTTGGGTACCCAAAGATTAAAAATGAGATCAAAGAAAGCTCCGTGTCCTATAGTTCTAACCCTGTCCTCTTGCAGTGATTAACGATACACCCTGATGTCAGGAGACACCTGGCTGCTGGCCGTTTGGAAAATGAACAGTAAACCTGTCTTAGGTCTGGAGATGAAGAGGATGCTTAATTCGAGGTGTGTCACAGTGACACAGAGAAGTGGTCACTTGGCTTAGCGCTATAGCACATGAAGGCAAATATACATATTTTGTCACATTTGAGAGATTATTCATGGTCTCCGACCACTTAAAAAAAATTGTGCTTTCTCCGGAATTTGATGTGCTGGAAAATTGCACACTCCCCACCCCCCCCCTGCTTATTTGCAGAACTAAATGTAAAAATGAAGTCCTCTGCAAACGTAAGGCTTGCTTTTTCTTCTCGTTTTATTTTAAAAAAATAAATAAAGGCTTGAAAGTAACTATGAGTTTTAGCTGTGTCCAGAGTGACGGCCTGTCCTCCCACAGGTTCATAACGTGATGCTTGCAGGCTTGGGGAGGGGCGGGGGAGATGGGGTAGGGTTTTTGTTTAGACTCGACACCTTCAACTACGTAAGTCTCATTCCCAGTTTTACACCCCACGTCAGCCAACTGCAGAGGACAGCTGGCTAGGGCACAGGCCTCACGCTTTGCTCTGTGGATTATCTGGTGGCTATGAAGACCTTTTTGGTACTCAGGGAGAGAACGTGGTGTGGGCCAAGTCCGCACCACAGATCCCTCAATGCTATTCATCTCCGAAAACGATTTACTTAATTCCAGTGGGCTGTAAAGACGACCTGTAGACTTCACATACGATGGATTTCAAAGGAACCAGAGTTTCCATCTTCCATGCTTCTTAGATTCAGTTTTGGATTTTTGCTTGGGAGTTGAGGAGTACGTCTCCTGAGAATAAGGCGAAGGTGCGACCTGAGTTTCCTCAATAGAATGGAGTTTCCTCAGAACTGGCTGGAGTTTGTCTTCTTGCTGCTTAAAATCTAGCTCCACACTGGAAAGGAAAGAAAGTCAAGAATTCAGTTCTTGGCCCTTCATCTGTACAGATAACCACTTAGTGACAATGACTTTGTTCAGTGCCATGCCTGAGAGGGTGACTTCGTGATTTTATGGGTTAATGTTCTGGTTTGTGCTGTAGGATAAGCACACAATGTTGGCAATTCAAACCCACCAACCTGCTCCTTGGAAATCCTCTACAGGGTCGCCAGGAGTCAGAACTGACTCCATGGCACGTAACAACACTACGAGGTTGAGCTCTATGTCATGTTTGTTGTTGTTGTTGTTGTTGTTATGTGCCATGGAGTCGGTTCTGACTCATAGCGACCCTGTACAGGGTTTCCGAGGCTATAAATCTTTACAGGAGCAGAAAGCCTCATCTTTCTCCCGTAGAACAGCTGGTAGTTTTGAACTGTTGACCTTAAGGTTCACAGCCCGATTCGTAACCACTACGCTACCAGAGCTCCTTAGTACAAATAAGTTCTATTTCTTTGAAAACTGACTTGTTTGTGTTTGTTGCAAACCTGTGAAATTGTACCAGTGTACACAGTCTTGTCAACGTAGACGGTCTGTTTGTTGAAATGAGAGAGGTGAGCGTCCCTATGGTTGGTTCATCCAGAGACCTCACTACCTCGACAAGTAAAATCGATAACCATTGGTGGAATATTCAGGGGCGGTCTTAGTGCAGGCATGCAGCCATGCCAACCTAGCAACCAGAAGGCACCAGAAAGCTCTGTTCCTGTGTAACTTTCACCAGAATCAGAGAAATCTCTCAATGGAAACGACTGTGAAATGAAATGTTCGTGACTCCCATGCTCCTTGCAAGGTCTAATCAGTCTGAGGTACCGCTAAGAACCACAGTGTCTAATACTGTGGAAATGGCGCATTTATTGGGTGACATAATTGAATTTTTTCTCCCCAGAATAATGGTCGGCTGGGCTGGGGTGTGGCTTTCAGAGGTTTGGCAGTTTTGTATTGAATGATATCATTCAGCAGTTGTGTGATGATTCAGTCACTCCCATGATGTGATCTGATGTGACCACCCAATCAGTTGTAAGGGGATGACAGTGGAATTGAAAGCCCTTAGGGATCTGATGTAAAGAAGTTTCCCTGAGATGTGGCCTTGCATCACTATTAAAGATAAAGGAGAGAGAAGGGACCAAGCAGCGCCAAGGAACCTTACCACCAAGAAGAAAGAGCAGTGAGTGGAACGTGTCCTTTGGCCCCCAAAGTCCTTGTAGTGAGAAACAACTAGACCCAGGAGAAGACTGATGTCAAGACACGGAGAGAGCTCCAAAGAATGTTGGGGCCACAGACGTTGAGACAGAGACCTTGCCCAGGAGCTGACAGAGAAAGCCTCCCTGCAGAGCTGAACACAGACGTGTAGCCTGCTAAGCTAAGAGAGTACATTGCTGTCTCTAAAAACCACCCACACATGGTTTCCTACTAGAGCGGCGCTAGGTAACTAAGACATTGCCATTACCATTAATGCTCTTCCATCAGCCAGCGTTTCAGGCAGAAGAAATGTTATTTGCAAAGACAGCTGTTTTCAGGTGAATGTTTGCGTCACTGAAGCTTTAGTGTACAGACGGGAGCCAGGGGGAAGACCGTGAGCTTGTTGTGATGTCAGTTGTGGTACAATCACAGCACCGAAGGTAGTTTCCAAACCAGGGGATTCCTTTAGAAGTTCTCCGAAGAATGGTATTGACTTGCTTTGAGTCCTTCCTCCTGTCTCTGACTTTGAAAAGGGTCTGTGTCGGCGGTCCACTCACTCTTGGCATTTAAGTCAGACCCCTGGCCCTCTTGCCCTCTGTCTGAGATGACTCTAAAGCAGGCAAGCATTCACCTCGTTGCTGGCTATGCTGCTGGTACCCTAATGGTCTCAGCCTGGGGTCTTGCCTCAGCCAGAACTCCAGAGACTTCTGCTCTGGGTTCCTTCGTTTTCTAGTCTGCAGGCCAGAGACTAAATGGCAGTTGATTTCAATGACTTTATAACCAGTGGAACTGTGGACCCTTTATAAATATGAAGTCCTGTTGATGTACAGAACCATGCATTCCATCTTCCCCCAATTTTGACATTTTGGAAAGACAAAACCGCAAAGAATTAGTATCTAAAGTTTTCAGAACAAGACCCAGCCAATGGACCATTTTGTTTTAAATCCACTGTCCCATTTTTTCTTACAGTCAAAAGACTATAATATTACTAAAAAATTTTAAAACACAAGGCAGTTTATGGCTAGTTACCCCTTGCTACCACCACAAGGGTTATTTTCTCTGCATTGCATAGGCCCCTGTGAGTTTTGCTGCAATTTATGGGAACTAGAGAAAGACCCAATAAAATACGTTCTGCTGTGTGATTATTGAGGCATTGTTCCTCTTAAGGAAACTTCTGAGAATTGCAAACCTAAGGCCATGGTGCATTTATGGAACAAGAGTCTCATTTCTGTTAGGGACTAGAGAGAGCATGGGTTTCCTGTGCATCTTTTCCAAAAGACACCATTGGGTGGGGATGAGGTCAGAGTCCAGGGGAAAGGAGAATCCCTTGCCAACCTAAAGGTGGTTTCCTTTGCTTAAGAGGGGAAAACATGCAGACCTTGGCTATTCAGGTCTCACTTTACCCTTTACTTGTTGTCTGTCCCTTACTAAAACCCAGTGGAGCACAGGTCTACACTACCCACACGGGATCTTTATGAGTTAGAATCAACTAACTAGTCATCAACTATCAACAGCCAAGATGTCAGTTTGAGGACTAAGGTACACCTGACCCAAGCCATGGTATTTTCAATAGCTTCATATGCATGTGAAAGGTAGACAATGAATAAGACCGTAGAAGAATTGATGCATTTCAGTTCTGCTCTTGGAGAAGAATACTAAAAGTACCATGACTGCCAGAAGAACCAACTCGTCACGTTGGAAGAAGTGCAGCCTGGATGCTCCTTAGAAGCCTGGATGGCCAGACTTCGTCTCTCATACTTCAGACATGCTATCAGGATGGACCAGTCCCTGGAGAAGGACATCATGCTTGGTAAAGTGGAGGGTTAATGAAAAAGAGGAAGACCCCAATGAGATGGATTAGCATAGTCACAGTGTAAGAATGACTGTGAAGATGAGCCCGGAACGGGCCACATTTCATTCTGTTGTGCATAGCGTTGTTATAAGTCGGAACCAACTCGAGGGCACCTACCAACAACCGCAACATCAACAATGAAGAATTCTCCAACTTGGGACATTTTATGGGTAATGCAATACCCTTTCCGTTGAGTTTGTGAGAGTTGTAATGTCCAGTATGGTATGTGAGGTACAGAAAGTGCCAAGTGAATACTACAAACTTGCTTTCCAGACGAGACCCATTTCCACAGTCACAGAGTGGTTCTGAATTATTAGAACTAAGCGAGGGTGCTAGCTTTTTCTTAGGTTAACAGTACAATCCTGGGTACCTATCATTATTGAATTCCCATTAAGCAACTACATTGGGAATCCTGTTATTAAGTAATTTATCACACCGCAGAACCATGTAATCACAGAGTAATCTAATCTGAGTTCTTGTTAACAAAATGACTCGGCTTTATCTGTCAAGTTGCATCCGCTCTGTGCTCCCCATCCCACAGCTCTGGGAAGCTGCACCCAGGAGCAGCTGCCTGAGGGGCAACAGCAAGCAGGTGATGCCAGGTTACCGGCTGCCTGAACTGTGAAGGAGCCTGGACTTGCTAGCAAGTGGGGAGAATCTGCAACCTTCTGCATGCTGTTTTCAGCGGGCGGGATGGTCTTCTCAAGCTTCCGGTTTGAGTCTGAAGTGGACAGTTAGCCCAGAAGGGCAGTAGCAGAAGGTTAATAGTCTGGCTGAGTAAGAGAGAAAAAAGGTCTTCCGGGCTGAGCAGCCAGGATGCCACACCTGCTGATGTGGTTAGAGGAGAGGACTTGGCAAGATACCACGAGCCTCTTAGGGGCTGGTGTTCATTTCTGGGTGCACACACCTCCCTTCCTGATGCAGCCAGAAGACATCCAGACAGGACCTGGGGACTGCCCAGTGGACGTGGGGTTCCACTGATCTCCGCTGGAAACCAGTGTGGTGAGAGTGATGGTTCCTGCTGTCATTCCATACCTGCTTCTGTCATTGGCCTTGTGGGCATTCCATTTCCCCGCTCCAGGCATGGCTGGTCACTTTTTGTCATGCTTTGTCCCCTCCCCCTGCCTCCAGGTGGGCAACTTCCTTATTCTCTTGCCATGACTGTTTAGTTCTGACTCAGAGCATCCCTGTATAGGATTTCTGAAGAGCAGCTGGTGGGTTTGAACGGCTGACCTTGTGGTTGACAGTTCAGTACTTCTCCTATAGCACCATACCAAGAGTCCTGTTGTCCTGACCCATAGAGACCCTGTATAGGGTTTTCCTAGGAGCAGCTGGTTCTTTGCTATTTGCTTCTCTGCACTAATCACACAGAGCCCTGGTGTGGTGCTGAGGATACGCACTCGATCATAGGTCGGTTTGAACCATTTAAGGTCGGCAGTTCAAACCTACCAGCCGTTCCTTGGAAGTCCTATACATGATTGTTATGAGTCGGAGCCAATTTGACAGCACTTACCACTACTCACACATCATTGTCACTTTGTGGTTGTTTCCTGGCTCTTGGCTTCAGTCATCAGAATGTCCACACCCCGGTCAGGGAAGCACATTGCTCTATTTATCCCTAGTTCCCACCGTCCACAGCAGTGCCACCAGAATAGGCCCACAGTGGGGTCGACCATGACTTATAGTGGCCACACGTTGATTGGAGCAGAGCCACGCACCCCAGGGTTTTCATTGGTTCGACTTTCTTCTGAGGTAGCCTATCAGCAGTTGCTCCATGGGACTTACTGAGCCAGCCAATGAGAACAGAGCTCTTGACAGATTGCACTTCAGCTGTACATAAGCTGTTTAGTCTCATTGTTACCTCCTCTTTGTTCTCCTACAAGGAGCCCCTCTTGCTCTGGAGAAATGGGAGCTTCTCACTGAGGCAACCT